GAACAAAGCGAAGTAAAAATTCCGTGTTTTCGATAGAAAAAAATGGGCTAAACAATCGAAAGCCCAACATGGGCGTGCACTGCACTGTCGGGCGCCCATGTTGGGCTTTCGATTGTTTAGCCCATTTTTTTCGATCGAAAACACGGAATTTTTACCTCGCTGTGTTCGCTATCTCGATCTTCATCCGATGAACTCATTTATGTTCGTATATCACACCAATAAGAATGATTTGTGAAGAAATCGTCTTGAGAGCAATTTTTTTTAGAGAGAGAGAGAGAGAGTTTTTTTGAACGGTAAATAGCCTTTTTCAAACGGTAAAAAGCAAATCCCTTTAAATATGAATATAGTATTCCCTTTAATGTAATCATATTTCAACTTTTTAAATTTTAAAATCCCTATTTATTTTATATAGAATTATAAAAAAATTGTGTATAATAGCATTAATAAACCCCTCTCCATAATGTTTTTAATGCATTCGGTCTTCCCGAACTTAAAATTAAAGCTCGGGTAATGTTGAAATTATTTAATTTTATTAAATTGATACGCATCTATAAAAAAAGAGCTTGGTGATACCGAATTTGTAGCTATATAATTGTTATTGAATTGAATGTGTGAACATCATATGAAGGTGTTTTATTACCAAGTGAATTAATTATGGACCATTTATAGTTATTTCGTCCATTAACATTTTTTGTATTGGTCTAGATAATGATAGTAGCATCTTTTTGCGTGTCAAACATTATATTCTTAAGATATTTAATCAAATTCAAACTCCACCATAATATTTATTTGTTATAATTTCAAACGATTCAAATAGGCCCTAAATAATTTGATTTTTTTTACGATTTTTATAATTAAGAGCAAATATGTATCTCTACATAATAATTAACCGACAATTGACATAAAAATAGGTATAAATAAAATAAAAATTGTATACATCAAAATATTAAATATTGAATTACTCATCTAGAATATATGTACTATATAAAAGCAATAATAATAATATAATATTATAATACAGTGAGTTTTCACAAAAAAATAATGGCAAGGAAACAATATTTATGAGCTGATAACCATACAAATTTTAACTTATTTTCTTGGTACGAAGATGTCATAATCAAACACAACATAGAATATAATTTGGCCACGATAGTGGTAACAAATAAAATATCTGATATTATTATTTTTCATTTTATTTGTTGTGTAATAATGGGCCTGAAGTAAAACTTATAATAAAGACCCATATGTATCCAATTTTTTAAGAAGAAGCCCAATTTTAAGGAAGTTTATTTTATTTGTCGGCTTTAAGTTCCAATAAAGCCCAGGTCCACTATCATATATTATTACCCAAACTTCATAATAATACCAAAATCACCCCCAAACAAATACAGAAATTTCAATTAGACCCCTCCGATAGATTCATTCACAAAAATCCCTCAACCATGGCCTTGCCAACACCAAAGATAGAAATCTTCTGCAAACCCATATCCGCTCTTTTTACAAACTCTCTGCAATTTCCAGCTCAAGATATTTCAGTTATGGCGGGCTAGTTCACAGTGAAGGTAATTTCGCGCCTTTTCTTTTTGAGGATTTTTTTTTTTACTGGGTTCATGGAATGTTCTTAGGGGTTGTAGAAATATGGCGTCTTTTCCTATTTCTTGGAGTGATGGGCTCTTGATTGCACAAAAAAGATTGAATCTTTCTGTCGGAAAATCCCAAACACTGTCCGAGAATCGATTTACCTTTCTTTCTAGTCCTTCTTTACTGAGTTATTCCTCTTATAAACCCCACAGTAGGCTGTTGTGTAGCAACAAGATTAAGCTAGTGGTCAATGATAAGATAATTGTCGACACTCAGTTGGTGGTTAAAGGGGGAAATAATAATAATAATAATAATAATAGTAGTAGTGGTGGTGGTAATAGTAATGAATTAAGGAGGAAATTTTCGCTGAGATTGCGCCCTAGGTTACGATTATTATCGAGGAGATTGAAAAGGGGTTCGATCAAGTCGGTGCTCGATGGGTTCGCAACTTTTTTGCGGAAGAATATAAAAAAAGTGACGTTTTCCACTTCGGTCTCGGTTGTGTTGGGCCTTTGCTTCTTGTTTCTCAAAGTAACCGCAATGCCTACTCCGAAATCGGTGCCGTATTCTGATTTGATAAGCAGCCTTCAAAGTGGAGGTGTGGCTAAGGTTCTGTTCGAAGAGGGCACTCGTCGGATATACTACAATACGAATTTATGGAGCGAGAAAGATTCCGAGAATGCGGTAGATTCTGGGAATAATGTAGATGGAAAAGATACGTCGGTTAAGAAAAAAAGTCGAAATTCGCCACCCGCTTGGGAATTTTTGACGAGAAAGATTGACCATGACGAGAGTTACCTTCTGAGTCTTATGAGGGAGAGGGGAACTTCGTACGGCTCCTCGCCTCAGTCGGCTTTGATGTCGATGAGGAGCATGTTGATCACCGTGTTGACTTTATGGATTCCTTTGACTCCGCTGATGTGGATTCTTTACCGGCAACTTTCTGCCGCCAATAGTCCGGCCAAGAAGAGGCGGCCCGGGAACTTATTGGTGTCTTTTGAAGATGTTGAGGGTGTCGATTCTGCCAAAGTGGAGCTTATGGAGGTAATAGTTTCTATCTTCGTAAGAATTATATTTGTAAGGGTAAATTACAACCACCCTTGAGGTATGCTCAATTTACGAAAAAAAACCCTCATGTTTGGATAATTACATCTACCCCTCAACTATGATTTTTTCTTACACCTCCACCCTTATGGTGTCAAATTCAACATAATCATCTAGATTTCGTGGAATGTGCTCTAGTTTGTACTCGTTTTGCGTAAAAATACACTTTCTGATGCACCACACAATCTGATATATATAAGCCAAAAAACACATATTATGATCATCTTGCTTCAAAATGTGGAGTTCGAATGGGATAAAACGGGCACAAAAGTGATATTATTCCATATAATCTCGAAGATTCCACTAAATTTGAAACCACAAGTGTGGACGTGTAAGAAGATTTATAGTTGAGGGGGTGGTTGTAATTTACCCAAACAGGAGGAGGTTTTCGTAATTTGACCATATCTCAGGGGGTTGGTTGTAATTTACCCTATTTGTAAAGAATTTTGAAGTTTTCGAATTATAGAGTCGATATAAGATATACGTTGTTTGCTTTAGAACTTGAAGAAAATAGTCGATATTTAAGTACCGATACCGATGCTATTTGTTTTTGTTAATAGATAGTATGTTGTCTCCAAGGAGCTATTAACTACAGCAAGCTAGGTGCCAAATTACCACGAGGGGTACTGCTCGTGGGCCCCCCAGGTACAGGAAAGACGTTACTAGCACGAGCTGTCGCAGGAGAAGCCGGGGTGCCCTTTTTCTCGGTTTCCGCTAGTGAATTTGTCGAGTTATTTGTCGGCAGAGGGGCGGCCCGCATAAGGGATCTTTTCAGCGTCGCAAGAAAGAGTGCGCCTTCGATTATTTTCATCGACGAACTCGACGCTGTCGGTGGTAAACGTGGTAGAAGTTTCAATGACGAAAGAGACCAAACATTGAACCAGGTATACATATATATATAGATACATCTCGTTTTTTTGTTTAATATAATTAATTAATTAATTTTAAATTTTTTGTAGTTGCTGACGGAAATGGACGGATTTGAGTCGGATATAAACGTAGTTGTTATAGCTGCAACGAATAGACCAGAGGCTTTGGACCCGGCTCTGTGTAGGCCTGGTCGATTCTCGAGAAAGGTGTATGTAGGAGAACCAGACGAAGAAGGAAGGAAAAAGATTTTAGCCATACATTTAAAAGGGGTTCCTCTCGAAGAAGATGTAACCCTAATTTGCAATTTGGTTTCGTCTGTTACTCAAGGCTTTGTCGGCGCCGATCTTGCAAACATTGTTAACGAATCTGCCCTTCTTGCTGCTCGCAGAGGTTAGATCAATTTTTTTTCAGACGCTCGGTTTTTTTTTTAACTTAATTGCAAGAACTTGGTGTTTTGCATTATCGATTTTCGGAAATAGGGTTTTTGGAGAGAAGACAAAAAATCGAAAGTATGATCTTTTTTTTGAAAATCAAGAATGTGTGAATCTGGGAACTATTATTCATTTTAAATACTCAGCGACTTAATTATAAATTCGGGTATTTTTCTGATTTGACAGGGGCTGAAAAAGTATCGAGGGAAGATATAATGGAAGCTATAGAAAGAGCGAAATTCGGAATAAACGAGAGGCAAACGAGCGCTACTACAATAAGCAAGGAACTGGTTAAGTTGTTTCCTTGGATGCCTTCTCTTACGAATAGAAACAATTCGAGAAAAGATCCACAACCTCCACTCGGCTATCAAACTTTAAGCTAATAAGTGTACGTTTTCGTTTTTTTTTCTTAATATATTCGAACTCGTACATTTTGGCTATCATTATCCGAGTGTCTTTCTGCGTTTTTTGATGATTATATTCCGTGTTTGAAATTCTTGATTGATTAGTTTTTTTCGAATTACTGGCTATAACACGTTATACATGTAAGTTATTTTAGTCTTCACTAATTCGTCTTGCTTTTTTTTTTTTATAATTATTTTACTAAAATAATGGCCTTATTTTGGATGTAATATATTATTATCTATCTCTTTGTTTAAGCCATTTGATGATGTCTTCAAACTGTTTCATGATTGAGATGGAATGATAAAATAAATCCCAATTGTTTTTATGGACTAAACCTTTTTTGATTGAATAAGAAAAAAGTTGCTATCTTTGTTTCTTTCCAAGTAGATTCCCAATATTTGTTTGCTAATTGGCCCCTCCATTTTCTACGAATTTATTTATTCGATTTTTCATCGAACAATAAAAACGGTGCTTGAATTTGATTTGATTAGCAATCGAATCAAACTCAAACCAGTTTTAATTACGCCCAACAAGTAGTCGAGTTTGAGTAATATGATATTTTATAAATATTTTATCAGTCTTATCGATCGGAAAAATACGGGTTTAAAGTCTGATTCGAACTCAAACGAGCTTTCGATGATCGATTTCTAATCGAGTAATTTTATTTGATTTTTCATACCTAACATCTTGCATGATTTTGACATCTCAATTTCATAATCAAGATTCCTGGAATGGTATCTTTTCCTATCATTGTTCCGTGTTGTATTTTCTTTTGAATTTAAAACCAACCTGATTGCTACAGGTGGGCCCCACTTCCCATTGTGTTTGCTCTTTTTTTTTCTTCCAAGATAATTGGAATTTTGATACTGTTACAATAATGCTGAAAAAAAGATTGTTTTAGTATATGAAATAACAACTTTAAATCAATCTTATATGCAACATACATACAGCACAAAAAACTGATAAGAAGTTTCTTCTGACACTGTAGAAGAAATTTGTACACTAATCATCATATTTTTTGATTCATTAATCTACTTACTTAAATTAATTATCCACTAATCTTTTTTTACACAAATTCTTGCACTTCCAACTTCTTTAATTTTATAAACTTCAGAACCACGAAGCTGGTGATCTTAATCTCCTCATCAGTTCCTTTCTGCACACAATCGAGAAAAAAAAAAATCGACATTTTAAAACGACGCAAAATTCGAGTTTTTTTTTTTAAATAATTAAAAGAGTTTATAGTGTGTTTTTTTACCTCATGAGCATTTTATCAGTGGCTGAAGTAGAGAGCATACCCCTGTTTTCTTCGGCCCGTCTCATGAGATACGGCATAATTTGATCGACCGGCCCGAAAGGCAAGTACTTGCTAACCCTAAATCCGGCATTTTTCAAACCGAACGAAAGCGCTTCCGACATTCCGTATAGCTGAGCGAATTGTAAACATGGGCTGTCTTTTTTTATCCCCAAACTAACCGCTTTCGAAGCTGCTAATTTGCCTGTCAAAAAAGAGAAAAAAGGTTACGTTAGGTTATGGCAAAGGGTTAATTGGAAAATAAAATAAAAAATAAAATAATTATTTACTCGATTCGATGTTGTGGGTGGCTAGTACGACGGATCCACCACCGCCGGAGATTTCATCGAGCAAGAACAAAGCGCATTCGTTGTAGCAATCGTGAGTCTTTTGGATGGTATCATGGATGGGGGTCTCAGCCCCCAACGAGGCGGCAAGCCGATTCTCGCTCGACATGTATGCCCCACGCACAAGCTTGAACCCCACCGGCACCCGCATTCTGTCCGCGGCCTTCTTCGCGGCCGCCAGCCTGTCCTTTGCGTCCTTCAGATAAGCCTGGATCGTGTTGAAAATCAGCGGATCTTCTTTTTCTCCGGTGCAGGCGGCGGCGGAGTATTTCACCGCCGCCGAGTAACTAAAATAGTCTATCGCTGGCTGAATAGACGTATCTTCCGCATCGATCAACAGAGGGGTGTTTATTTGCAAAGCGTGGTCGCAGATTTTCGTTAGTCTCTCGAAGGCTAAACCGAGATCTTTCTCTTCTTCGGGGGTTAAAGATTCCGGCTTTTTCGGTGTGTGGTAAAGCGGGCTCGAATCGGAAAATATCGGGAGTGATTCGAACTTCCATGGAAGATTTAGGGACTTATCTTTGTTTTCCCATCTTAGTAGATCACTTACTCTTTTGAGTAAACTAACAGGACAGATTGCAGTTATCTTCACCACCACAAAACTAACCTGTTTGAGCAAAAAATTACACTATTATTACTGATATACCCCTCTAATAATGGTTTATTGCATTTGTACCCTTTAATTTTCTCTAATTGTTAGAAAAACTCTTCCATGTTATTTAATTAGCAAAAAAACCCAATTGATTCAATTTTATTTTAAGGTAAATTACGAAACCCCCCCTGAAGTTAGGCTAAATAACAAAAAACGCACCCACATATTCGTAATAGCCAAAATCCCCATCTGATTAATTGTACATTGATCGAGTTTTTCAACATAAAATGTGTATAATACCTTATGTTAAATAGGTGAGACATAAAATAAAATATCTGAAATTGTGTAAAGTCTATTCCCTGGAATAAAAAAAAAATCCGTAAAAAGTCACATTGTAAGGATTTGGTGTAAGACGGAAACAAACCTGTATTTAATCTAAGTTCAGGGGAGTTTTCGTAATTTACCCTTTATTTTAAGGAACTACCCTCTAGAAACTATTTTTTAGGAGGTTATGTGCCAAAAAAATAACATTAATTCGGGGTTCTTTTGCTAATATTTATAACAAAAAGGAGTCTTTGAGCAATTTTATATAATATAGGGGTAGTAAATGCAATAAAACACCATTTAATAATTTCGAATGTAATAAATAAATAAAAAAATTGAAGAGAAACTTACTTGACCAGGTTGGTGTAATTTGGTCCATTCGATGGTACGAAGGAATTCATGGAGGTTGAGATCGCAGGAGTGGTTGTCGTCGGCGTGCTCCAATCCGTAATCCATCATGGCGGAGAGTCCGGCGTCCCAGAGCCTGGACAGAGTCGCCGCCGCCGCGTCGAGGTCTTTTCCGGCGCAGAAGTGGCTGTAGAAGGTGTGCTCGGTTGCGTCGAGGATTATCTTTCTGGCGAGTGGGTTTTCCATCAGCCTCGAGTTCATCACCGCCGTGCCCAGATCGACCATCGGCCCGAACGACGACGCGTGGATGGCCGCGGTTGACTTGAGCAGTTTTCCGGTGGAAATCGACTCGAACAGCCGCTTTGTGTCGGTGAGGTCGATTCCGTCGGCGGCGGAGGTTGTGGCGGTGGGGATGGAGGCGGGGGGTCGATTCTTGGCGAAGGAAGAGGGTTTTCGGGGGGCCATAGTTTCCTGGAGGAGGGAGCTGACGGAGGGGGCGGCGTAGTTAAGGCGGCGGAGGTTGCCCGGAACCTTTGACCGGATGCTGCCGTTGACCATGGTCATGGTGGTGGTTTTTGCTTTTGTAATAACTAACTTCGTGGTTCTTAATTCAAGTACAGTTGCCGTATATATATATATCTATAGAAAAACAGAGGAGTTTTATTACAGAGATGAATTCCACGTTTTTACTGCGTTGAAAATGACTTCTTTTTGGATAAAATTCACAAACACACACACACACCTGCGTGTGTGTGTATGAATTTTATTTTTTTATTTTTTATTTTTTATTTTCTGTAATGTTTTTTGGATGAATGGGTGTGTGTGTGTGTGTGATTTTTATATGAAATATAGAAACTTTTAGGCAGTGGGCATTTCCTGAAATGCTGGGAGTATAAACGACACGTGTCAGCTGTATTTAGGGGTTAGCAAATATTGAGGATCACTTCTTAATATTAAAATGCAATTAAAAAAAGAAAAGAGAAACCTATTTTAATGGGTCTTTGTCTATTTAGGTGTGTGAAATTTATCCAAATAAATGAGATAATATTGCCTTGTCACCTCTGATTCACTTGTTTCTCAATTAATTAATGAAGTATATAATACATGGTATTTATTGGATATCCAAAATTATGAGAGTATAAGGTCTGGCTTGACTAAACTTATTTTAAACATCCGATAAATTCTTACGATAATATGTTTTTAAAACTGATAAACAATTACATTTAATTTTTAAAATAAAATAAAATAATTAACTAATTTGTTATCAAAATTAAAATCAATCATGTGGTAAAGTAAAAAAAAAAAAAAATTGGATCCCTGATTATAGGACTGAAATAATGTTATAACCACAACTAATCACATTTCAAGCAGAGAATTCGCCACAACATACATTATTTTAATTATTTATAGCCCTTTTACAGACAAAACTTAAAGACAAATCAGCTTAATTACAACCTTAAACTCGTCAGAAATATTTATTAAAGTTTCTAAAAAAAAATTAGAGCAAGAATGGATCAGGCTAAAGCCAATTACCAAGCCGGTGAAGCCAAGGGCCAAACAGAGGTGAATTTAACATTTAATTTCACAATTAATAGTGAGATTAATTTATAATTAATCACTGTTTATCTGTTTGCTCTGTTATCAATTTTAGGAGAAAGCTAACCAAATGATGGACAAGATTAGCAACACTGCCGAATCTGCTAAGCAATCGGTTCAGGAGGTTCGTAATTCCCAGCTACAATATTCTTTTTAATAATATTATTATTAAATACACATATTAACATGTAAATAAACTTTATTTCTATCATTTAATTTAATTTTTAATTTATTGGTAATAAATAATAATAAAATATGGAAAATATTGCAGACCGGGCAGCAGATGAAGGCCAAGGCAGAAGGAGCTGCTGATGCTATCAGGGATTCCACTGGAATGAACAAGTGAACTCATTTAGCATTTAGGATAAATAAATATTACTATTTTTTTTTTTGCTGTTTAATTTAATTTGTCTCTATAAATATGAGGCAGGTGATTGTTTTTTTTTTTTTTTTGATTTATTTGGATGATATAAATTGATTTAATAATGTTTTTTTTTTATCAAATAGTTTAGTTGGGCTTTTTTAGGCCCTTTATTTTGAAAATAAGAGCACCCCAAAACTGATTATTTAAACGAATCACACAGTAATATAGCCCACAAACTGGATTTTCTCTCTCTCTCTCTCTCTCTCTCTCTCTCTCTCTCTCTCTCTCTCTCTCGTAGGGATGGCCATGGGGCGGGTAGTCGGGTTTTGGAAAACCCGCACCTACCCCACTAGCAAAAAAATTCACCTTACCCGTCCCGTACATGTTTCGTATTTGATTTTATTAAACCCGCTCCATATAAAATTTGCCACGTAGCCGCTTCAAATTTGATTTCATTAAACCCGCCCCGAATAAAACCCGTCTCGCCCTGGACCCGTAATATTTTTGTTATATATGTTTAAAATAGGGTAAATTATACTTTACCCCCTTGTACCTTGACTGAATATCACTTTACCCCCTTGTACTCTCAATTGCATCGAGTTGCCCCTTGTACTTTGGTTCGATATCACTTTTACCCCTTCTACTCTCAATTCATTGATTTGCCCCTTGTATTTTGGTTCGATATCACTTTACCCCCTTCTACTTTCAATGCATTGATTTGCCCTCCTGTACTTGAAAAATTATCTCAATGAAGCCCTCGCCGTTAGTTTTCTGACATTTGACCTTAACACCGTTTGATCTGAGTTTGAAAATTACAAAAAAGTCACCCCTCCCAATTTAAATAATTATTAATAAAAAAAATTGTGGCTGTCGTCGTGGACTATATTTTCTCGTTGTCTTGAATTTTTTATGATTTTATATTTTGTTGTTTTTTATTTTTTATTTTTAATAATTATTTAAACTGGAGGGGTGACATTTTAGTAATTTTCATACTTAAATCAAACGATGTTTAAGGTCAAAGATCTGAAAACCAGCGGCGAGGCACATTGAGACAATTTTTCAAGTAAGGGGGACAAATCGATGCAATTGAGAGTAGAAGGGGGAAAACTGATATCGAACCAAAGTACAAGGGGGCAAATCGATGAATTGAGAGTAGAATGGGGTAAAATGATATCGAACCAAAGTACAAGTCGGCAAATCGATGCAATCGAGAGTACATGGGTAAAGCGATATACAACCAAGTACAAGGGGTAGAGTGGAATTTACCCTTTAAAATATATCTAAAAAATTACTATTTATAATATAAAAAATATATAACTAATAAAAGTATATAAATGAGTCGGATACGAGATGGACGTACGTTAAAAAAACCGTACCATTGTGAAAGTTTTAACACTTGTACCCACCACATTAGCTAATGGGGGGCGCAACCGGTTAAATTGGCATCCCTACTCTCTCGCACGTACACACACATGTTGAAATACACTTGGTAGATTTTTACCATTTATATACGCACAAAAACACACACACACACCCATATTGATATATGTAGATCAAGGGTAAACAGTCTAACCTTCACCCGGGCGTAGGATAGATAAAACCCACGCAGTGCTTTCCCGTTTCGTCACTCTCTAATTTTCCAACCATGCTTTCCAAAAAGATGGTGATTTCTCTTTTCAAAATTAGCAGCACCTGCAACATGGAAAGCGATAAGATCAATGTGTTAAAGCAAATAACTTTAGGAACACCTTTTTTTTTTTTTTCAATAATGCAAACATGCGTAGGAAAGAAAATGGATCATATACATTATTCAGTGATTTGATGTTACGTTGCAAGAAACCAGATGCCCTGTTTCTGTGGAAGAGAAACAACAGCTGGAGATGTACGTAACCAGACCACGCTCGCTCTACCGCAACTTCCCCGGCGCACTGTCAGTTCAGCCGCAACCAGATGCTCCGTTTTCAGGCAACCTCGTTCTTTCCGACGAAGATTCGGAATCGATTGGTTCCTTTTGCTGCGGAATATGGCGAAACCACAGAATCAATACTCTGCCTTTTCCTTCGGACAGGATCTTGGAGGTGTTCCACTCGTCGTTACACGAAGAGGCAGCGATCGTTCGGAAGATTTGGTTCGTACCTGTTCTCGACAAGCCTCTTTCGTCCAATCGCTACTACGCCATTAAAGCTAAGGGAACACGCAAAGGGTACTTTTTTATTTTGTCCTCCAAGTGTTTGATAAAATTCCTCTGAGAGTTCTAGTATGACTTTCTGTTAAATCTTGTCTTAATTCTGCAGGGAAGCATACACATGTTCAAAAGAGGGAGAAGTGGGAATGTGCTGCTTTTCGAATCCTGGGATGGACCCAAAAACCAGGCCTTTTGATCACAGAGACAGATACCAACAATTCGAGATTCGACCATACCAAGGTGGCGGTTTCTTTGCCCAGTCGGTGGAATGGGATGGCTATCCTCCGAGTTTCTTGAGAAGAGGTGGGTGGGAAGTTCAAGAATCTCACTCGTTCAAACTCCGCCTAAGCGAAGCTCGGGGCCTCCAAGATTCCACCAAATCGGATTTTTCCGAACTGAATTTCCCGCTACACTCGAAGCGTTCGACTCCGGTTGTGCTCGGTAAATGGCACTGCCCTTTTGTATTCGTGAAGGAGGAAAGAAAGAAAATTTTCAGGGCTGACGATCAAATGAAGGAATCTTTCGTGTACGAATTGAGCCTCAAGCAATGGTGGGAGCAGATACATTACGCCGAAAAAAACGACGACAGCAATCGGGACAACGTCGTCGTGGTGGATGCGAGAGTGAAGAGGTTGTTCTGTCTAGTGAATGGGGTGGACGGCGAGAGAGATCACGAGAGACGAGACGGCGATTCAGGGTTTGTTTGGTTTAAGGTTAAAAAGGAGGACTGTAAGATGAGGAGGAGGGTGGTGAGTGTGGGGTTGAGCTGTGGGCTGTTTGAGAAGATGAGGTGGATGCAGGAGAGAAGAGGGTGGTTTGATAATCGGGAGATCGACGTGAGAGTTTCCGGTAATAAGGAGAAACACGGGTGGCGAAAATTCGGTTGCTATGTATTAGTGGAGAGTTTTGTGCTGAGAAGGATGGATGGGAGTTTGTTGATTAATTTCAATTTCAGAAACACAGACATGATTGAATGCAAATGGGAGTGACAGGTTTTATTGTTGCGAAATCATGGGCTTCGATTTCGGTTTCGGTTTCTTTTTTAAAGACAATTTAGTGATTATTGTGTTTAAAAGTGGTCCTAGGAAGTTGCCCTAGATGTTTTCTGCTACAAAAAAAAGTCAAATTTTGGCATCTTAAAATAGTTGGAAATGTCAGCTGCCGTGAAGGTGCTGGCACTATTTTCAACATTCAATAGAGTGTTTAAATAAGTGCATTGAAAAAATTAGTTTAATGTCACATTTATTTTATTTATTTAGTCACCTACCCTCCCATGTATGAAACTCTGAGAACTCTTACATTGGAATTGCTGCTTTCTCAAACTTAACAGAAATGGCAAACACCATGTTTCTTTCCTCTTCTGTGAAAGTTAAACCACTACTTTCATCTATAGGTAAAAAAAAAACCCTTTTCCTTGCTATATTTCCTTTTTTAGTTTTTAATATATTCTTGTCTGTTTTCTGCAGTTTCCTGTTTCTTGATCTGGAATATGGACTCTGTGTCTGTGATTTTTATTTTATTGTTATTGTTATTGTTATTATTTTTTTTTAATTTTATAAAAGGGCATGGTGAAGTTAAATTCTTGTTTCTGTTTTGCTTAACTATGATTAAAGATGAGCCGCTTTTAGCAATAGATGAAGCATTCTTGATCAGTAGATTTTCTAGTTCATATTTATGGATTGAATTGTTTAGTTGCAACACAATGCTCGATTTTTCTGACAATCGTCCTATTTATTTGCTCAAACAGGTGATGATCAGTGGCTAAGTCACTTTGCCCCAAACAGAAGAACATGTCATCTCAAAGTTTTATCAAACTCCAGAGTAGTACCAATAAGATCAGCATATACCCCCGAAATCCCTTGCCAGTGGTACAATCTAATCGCAGATCTTCCGATAAAACCACCGCCGCCTTTGAATCCAAAGACATTCGAGCCATTGCAGCCACAGGATTTATCGCATTTATTTCCAGATGAAATAATCAAGCAAGAGGGCACAAACGAAAGGTTTATCGACATTCCGGAAGAAGTTATCGATGTTTACGGGCTTTGGCGCCCCACCCCTCTCATCAGGTTATATATATTATTAACTTCTTCATTCTGCATATTTTTTTTTTTGTAAAATATCACTTTAATTAACACCTGTCGGTTTTAAATATTGCAGAGCCAAGAGGTTGGAGAAGTTGCTGGATACACCTGCGAGAATCTATTACAAGTACGAGGGCGGCAGTCCAGCTGGGTCCCACAAGCCGAACACGGCTGTCCCTCAAGCATGGTACAATGCTCAGCAAGGGGTCAAGAATGTGGTTACGGAAACCGGTGCCGGTCAATGGGGAAGTTCGTTGGCTTTCGCTTCCAGCTTGTTCGGTCTCAATTGTGAAGTAATTATGAACCTTTCCTATTTATCTTCTGATTAGTGCAATATTTGTAAAATCTCAAAGGGTACTCACAGAAAATGCAAAATGCTAGTTTTTTTAAACGTTTTGAAAAACCCGAATTTTCATTTTGGAAGGTGTGGCAAGTACGAGCTTCATACGACCAAAAACCCTACCGTAAACTAATGATGCAAACATGGGGGGCAAAGGTACACCCTTCGCCTTCCAACATAACCGAATCGGGTAGAAGAATACTCGAGCAAGACCCGTCGAGCCCCGGAAGTTTAGGAATCGCAATTTCCGAGGCAGTTGAAATGGCGGCAAAGAATCCCGACACAAAGTACTGCCTGGGGAGCGTGCTAAACCACGTGCTCTTGCACCAAACGGTTATAGGCGAGGAGTGCATAAAGCAGATGGAGGCTATCGGAGAGACGCCAGATGTCATCATTGGGTGCACGGGCGGTGGGTCCAACTTTGGCGGGCTTGCTTTCCCGTTTATTAGGGAGAAGCTTAGTGGGAAGATTAATCCGGTCATTAGGGCGGTTGAGCCTTCGGCTTGCCCCTCATTGACCAAGGGGGTGTATGCTTACGATTATGGAGATACTGCGGGGATGACTCCGTTGATGAAGATGCACACTCTTGGCCATGATTTTGTGCCGGATCCTATTCATGCTGGTAAGTGAAGATAGCTATATGATTATGGGGACGTCGTGTAGTTTTATTTATTTATTATTATTATTATTATTATTATTTTTATTTTTTTTGTGTAGGGGGATTGAGGTACCATGGGATGGCTCCACTGATTTCGCATGTGTATGAATTGGGATTCATGGAAGCAATTGCTATTGCTCAGACTGAATGCTTTGCAGGTAATCTTCTTTATGGCAGCACAACAGAACAGAGTGATTTTCGATTCGATTTAATTTCCTAAAATAATTCAAGAGCATTTGTTTTATTCTAACACGGATTTCCTGATTTATGCGAAAAAAAAAAAATGGATCGGAATTGAAATTAGTTTCTTGCTTCATAGAACTCAAAATATTCAAGAAAATGCTAATTTTGACCTGGTCCGCTTGATACCTACCCTTACGAAACATCCTTCTTATTTCCTAGGGTACCCCAGTTGGATACTATCCGTTGAAGCTATCGTGAATAAAATCGATGTTTCTGGAGTAGATATATAATTGAATTTGCAATTTTTTTTTTATGGAAGTTGATAATCTAGATGATTTGAATATACTATGCTTTCCTTGTTTATTCAGGGGCTATACAGTTTGCTCGGTGTGAGGGGATAATTCCAGCGCCCGAACCAACTCACGCAATAGCTGCCGCTATAAGAGAAGCCCTTCACTGCAAAGAGACCGGCGAATCGAAGGTTATTCTCATGGCAATGTGCGGGCACGGTCATTTCGATTTGCCGGCTTACGACAATTATCTGAAGGGAAATCTCGTCGATTTGTCTTTTTCCGAGGAGAAGATCAAAGCATCCATAGCCAATATCCCTCAATCCTCAGCCTGAACTAAGATAGACATACACTCTGCAGTGTAGGTGGATTTGGTTAAAGTTGAAGTTATAATTTCACTGTCATGATTTTTTTTTTTTTTTTTTTTTTTTTTTTTTGAATAGGTTCAATTTGTAAGAGTAGATCAAATAAATGAAGGGGCATTTTTGTTAGATAATATTGACAAATTGATCATTTTCTTTTTAATTTGCTGACAAGGACAAATTAAATGAAATCATTTAACTCGACGCTCTCTTAATCCACCAACTAAATCACTGACCGCCCTATGGCCTATACCATATTAAACATATCTGATGAGGAGTAAGAGTAGCTTAATAGAAATTGGAGCGATAAATGCAATATATATACATTATTTTAAGGTGGTGTTTGCAGAAACTTATTTCAAAGTAAAAGTTAGAAATCTGAACTTAAGTCGGGATTAAGTGTACGTTTCTAAAACTTGAAAGTTGTCAAATTAGCTGAAAAATCAGACAATACAGGTGCACGAGTGCTTTTAAATTATAGCTTAAAATGAACTTAGTTTAAGAGAAGTAAAAACAAAAGGTTATTTTGGAAACATCTAAAAATAGATTATTTGAAGAAAAAAACTGATAATCTATTTATAAAAGCTCATAATCTATTAAATTATATCTTAAATTGAGACCCATTATGTGGATCGGATCCAACTAATTGGGCCATATGTTCGAACTTCGAAATGGGTCTAATAATAACATCTAGAAAAAGCTAAATTAAAAAAAAAACAAAAAAAAAAGGAATTAATGAAGTAACTTCCGGAATATTATTTGTACAATTTTCTCTAGAAAAACCCTGACCCCCATCCCCGACCTGAACGCCACCGCAAATCGGCCACCTCCGCCCACCGCCGTGACCATTGCCGCCGATGCCGGACGACGATAAGGTGACTGCGATAAATATTGGAGGAAATTGAACTTTTTTCTGAGGTCATCGGTCCCTGCTTTGCATTTTTCGTCGCCGAAATTAAACTACACAGGTTAAATTTCATCCATGTGTGTATATTTTTTTCCCGCTGTTCTAGCGACGTGATTCGTAGAAGGATTTATTTATTTATTTTTGCGGGAAAAATATTTACAGTTTTATTCACGTATAGATAAAATATCTGTTGGAAGAAGAATAATGTAAAAGGCATCAGCAGATCCATCGGGTGAGTGGAATGGATATTAGAATTAAATTGGCTTGTTTGTGAACTCTGTATGAAGATAAAAATTGTGGGCTTTGATTATGGCTGAGAATCTTTGTTTTAACTTATTCGATTGTCTACTGAAAGTACATAAGAGGGGTAACCAATCCACCTTTGCATATATGAATTACGGAGCATCTACGAGTTTACTTTTGGTGTATGGATACATTTGTTTATTTGTTGCCACATAAGAGAAAGGGCCTCGACTATAAACGTGCATTATGTTGGTGGTTTTGGCTAAAATTGCATATAGATCCCCACCCGTAGCTTTGAGTTTCGGAGGAAGCTTTCTCTTACGTGCACTTAAACAAGAGAAAATACACGTCGTAACTTCTGTGCTGTCATTCTTATTTTGTATGCATGACTTCTTGATTCTGTGTAAATATCATTTAATAATATCGTCTCTATTTATTCAGTTCCAATTGATTTGTTGCAATGCAGATATTAGAATGTGTGTGCTTTGTAAGAGATAACTGCCTGTATTAAAGGTCTAAAACCTGGAGTTGATTATGGCAAGCAAACGAGTCCCTCATCCCCACCTTCACCGTCCTCTTCCCGATCCATATGCCTCGGGTGCAGTGCACCCTGATCAGTATGCCTCGGCGATTCGTCCACCACATGGCGGTTTCCCACATTTCGAAATGCTGCCTCCTCACGAGGTAATGGCGCACAAGCTCTCCGCACAACACATCGAGATAGAGAAACTCGTAACGGAGAACAGGAGGCTTGCTGCCACTCATGGAACTCTAAGGCAAGATCTTGCTACCGCGCAGCAAGACCTACAGTTGATACACGCTCACATTGCGGATGGGAAGGCTGAAAAGGAGCAGCAGATGAAAGGTATTATAGATAAAATGTCGATCATGGACTCGGAACTTGAAGCTGCAGAGCCCATTAAAGCGGAGTTGCAGAAAGCCCGAGCTGAAGCACTGAGTTCGGTTGCTACAAGGCAGGAACTTATTTCAAAGGCGCAGCAGTTGAATCACGATCTTCATAAGGCTCACTCCGAGGCACAGCAGATCCCTTCTCTAATGGCTGAGCTTGATAGCTTGAGACAGGAGTATCAGCATTGCAGGTAGTTGTCGACATTTATCATGACGAATATTCAGTTGTTTGACATGCATCCACTACTTACGAGCTTTCTGATAATTGCCCAATTTCTACGTGTTCGGGGATTAGTATAAACTTAGTTAGATAATGGTGAATATCTGAGTGGCAAATTGGTCCTATGTTAGCTAGCGAATTTGTTTTTTAAATGTAATTTGGTAGAACTGTTAAAGTAGTCTGATGTTTGTTGGATTTGATCTGCACAGGGGTACTTATGACTACGAGAAGAAGTTATACAATGACCACCTTGAATCTCTCCAGGTGATGGAGCAGAATTATACGGCAATGTCGAGAGAGGTGGAAAAGCTAAGAGCAGAGTTAACTAATTCTGCAAATTTTGATCCACAAACAGGTATACGTTATCTCCAGTCCAGTTTCATTTCTCTATTTTGGTCGTCTTTCAGAAAAAAAAAAAACAACAACTTCTTGATAGCTCATATATCGTAAATTCGCAATGGAAATGCAGGTGGGCCTTACGGTGGATCTGCTGGATATAACGAAGCTGCTCTTGCCGGACACTATGCGTCTGCTCAAAACGCCTATGCTGTAGGACAGGTACGTATCTTAACGAAAATGAAGAAGCACATACATATATTTTGTGAAAATGAAGAAATTTTTATCGGTTTAGTGATTTCTAAATTTTCATTTATTTTATTTTGTTTTTTGTAGCAGGGGCTAGCCCCCCTTCCCGGAGATGGTAGTGGGGGTGGAGCTGCTGGTGCAGCAGCTGGTACAGGGGGTAATTCTCCTCATGTTGTAGGGCAATCTGCTCCATATGGTTCATCTAGAGTGGGAATTGGTTATGATCCACATAGAGGCCCAACTGCCTCGTCCCATAATAATAATAATAATAATAATATTAATAATAATAATAATATTAATAATAATAATGTCCAAAGAGGGCCTGTATATGATGGTCAGAGAGGAAATAGACCCGAACCGCAGTCGGTGCAGAGAAATCCTGGTTATGGTGGACCAAGTGCTCCAGTTTATAATAGAGGTTTAGGAGATGAAAATCAAACGGGAGCTAATTACGAATCACAGTACGACCCTTTGTCTAGAGGAGGTGGTGCTGTAGGAGGACCCCCTCAAGGGCAGGTTTCTGCTAACAACGTACCTTATGCTTCAACACCGAACAATAGAGCTGGAAACCCAGTTCGTAGGTGAAACACGTGATTTTTCTGGAACTTCTTAAAGGTCATTTCTTACAATTCTTTCAACGGAGAATGCAAGATTTTTATCGTGAAGAAAGCAAGTCAAATGTTGGGGTGGATGCAACATAAAGACTTGCTTCTATGGAACAGACCATGCAGCATGCAATATAAAGAATGTACTGATTTTTGAACTATCCACTTGGTCTTGTTTTGAGTGGAATGCCTCGGTTAGAATTGAACTGAATTTATTTCCAATGCGTCGAAATCCAATTTTTGTTATTTGTTATGATGTTCTGTATATCCAACTGGCACAATATTAACGCTTCGTAAATATTGACTTTTCCAGGTATTAGAGGTGCTCATCTTATGTTATATTTGGTATTTTGCAGCTTTGTCATTGTGTCTTGGCCCCTGTTACGCGATTGATTGCTCGTAATTTGGAATTGCTAAGGAGATCATATTCGTCACCTGCAAAATTCTGTTAAGACGAAGTATATATTCGTATAAATTGATCTTCAGACCTCAATAACCTTAAATCCTTAATCACACCCTTCCTAGGGATGAACTCAAAAGATCAGACTCTGTAAAAGAACATATCAGTCGCTATCCGAAACTCACGCCACCCTTTAGAAAAATCGAGCCTAAAATGAGTAAAACCCTTATTTTTCAACTTCATGTATTGTTCGACCTAAAATCGAGCACATCGCTCGAACAATACCCGCTCGGCTGATACTGCATTACTACCCTCTTCTATCAAATTAATTTAATTCAATCATGAATAAATAAATCAAACAAAGTATATTAAATAACCATGTCAACTCTAATTAAGAACAGAATTTATAAGTTCGACCATGAATTGATACACAACCCTTATGTTACATTTTGGCAATAATATTTTACAAAAAAAGTATCCATATACCAATTTATGTATTCTCAAATTTGTTTTATACTAAAATTATTTTATATGGGATACATTATTAGATTTAGGGGTAATTTTTATTTTTTAACCAGGCCCAAAGCCCAAACGAACCTACTGCGGACAGCCCGTATTAAATTAAATTGACATAATTCTAAAATCAAATCCCCGAATTCAAACATTTCACTTTCCCGGCATAGCTCCAAGTTCCTCCTACCATGGAAGACGATCCCACTCAACATCATCTAGGTACATTTCGAGCTTCACATCTCTGCAGATCTCAATATTAATCACGCGTCCACTCTACCATTTTCGAGATCTGCACATGTTTTGAATCGGCGCTAGGGTTTCGTCATCTCTCTCTATATTTTCAATTTCATTTGCTTATTGCCTATTATTTTTTTATTTTCCGCAGAATCTGCAGAGTTCGATGTGAAAGGAATGGAATCGGTTATAGCTACTGTGAGCGGGTATCACGGCGCCGAGAGATTCAATCTCATCAGACTGATATCTCAAACTGGTGCTAGTTACGTTGGGAATATGAATCAATCCGTCACTCATTTGGTACGTGTTTTCGATTTGAGCCTGTAGTCTTCTCTTCTAGCAGTTTTGATTGGTGGTGTTTTTTAGGTGTGCTGGAAATTTGAAGGAAGGAAGTATGAGCTGGCAAAAAAGTTCAAAATATCGATAGTTAATCATCGCTGGATTGAGGAATGTGCAAAGAAAGGAAGGCGTGTTTCGGAGGAACCATATACGTTTCAGAGGTATATGTTCTGTTGCTCGGTTGTTTTGATTGAATGTCGAATTTTTCTTTTTGTAAAGAAATGACTTATGCTACTGATGCCAATTGTATGGTTAAAATTCATTTACAATTCTTAGATAACTAAGTAATGTAGCTTGTTGTGTGTATTGGGATTTGGGATGAATTGTATAGTGTAATTGGTGGAACAATTCTAAATTATGAGTTGTGGTCCTCTGGCCGTTGCTTCTGTAGGAATTTATATGCGCGTCTATATTCCATGGAGAAGTTGCTTTAACTGTTCATGCTGTCATTTTTTCTTTTTTGATTTCTTGTAGTGGGGAAGAAACGGGACCTCTGTGTCTGGACACCCCGCTGGGAATTCACCAGGCTAAGGCTCAATCTAAAGCATTGAAGACAAGTAAAAGACCTGTGATTGACATTGAGTGTGAAGATGTAAATAATGCTGCTTGGTCAGATTCAATTCTATTTGATGAGGTTGGTATCTGATTAGAATGTGTTTCTTCTTTAACATGAACTTAGCATTAACCTGTAAATTACGCTTTACGTAATTTGGCATGTATGGGTTATTCCTTGTTGCCTAGTGAGTAAAACTATCACCATAAAGGAAGGAAAAAAAATATCACTATGAAGAGCCCGAACTCCCTACACCAACTCCTCTTGATTTTAGCCCATCTCGTTCATTTCTTTCTGCAAACATTTTCTCTCAAGTAATAAATAATATGTCCCTGAACAATATTCTCATGGATTATAGTTTTCCTCGCTAGTTGCTGGACCCTCTGATTTTCTATAAAAAAAATGGTTATCTAACATGATTCTGATCGTCTGAATGAAGTTTGTGTTAGTTCTATACGTTGTTGCAAAATTGCTTGTGATTCTGCTGCCTCTTGATTATTTGAGTTTAATCGCGATTACTATTTCAGAACCTGTTTACTCAGCCGATGCAGAACAGTCGTTCTAATAGATCAATTAGGACAGCAATGAAAAGAGATTCAAGGAAGGATTGTCCTGGTACCAGTGGTCATTGCCCTGTGAATCTATCAGGACCAACGATTATGGAGGTATTGATATTTTCTAAGTTCCTCCCATGTTTTTCTCCATCTTTAGAAGTTTCAGATAAAACATACCTACATGATATAACTCTATGTGAAATTTACGTTTATAGACACTTTAAAATCTCTGAAGAACTATTGAAGTTTAATTAGCTATAGCCTATGTATCAGGATAACAGCATTAAAGTGTATTTTATCACAGGTAACATGTTCAGTTACTGGCATATGATACTTTGAATTTGTTTGCTCATAGCTTTACAAGGATAAAAGTACTTTTAGGTGAATTAAGGTTCTCCTGTTTTGAGAACTACGAGCTCATGGAAATTTCTCGATTCCTTCTGGATGTCAGACACTATTTATGATTTGTCAGCTCTGCATAATTTATAATTTCCTCCAGCAATCATTCGCAATTAGTTAATCATCTCCCTGCATACCTCCTTACTCTCTCTTTTCCACCTTGAGAGCTAATTAGTTTACTAGTTGCTTTATTTTTAGTTAGTCAGTCTGCTCAAAACCTACTCATGTTTGTTTTCGTCAATACTGTTTAATTTTCTCTTTCTTGAATAGATCAAGGAAGCAAGCACCTCTCAGCTTGCGGATACTTATAAACTGAAAAAAAGGAGTTTGACTTCATCTGGACCTCACTGCAAGAGTCGTAGGCTGGTGAAGAAGCATACAGGCACAACGAATACAAAAGTGTCACCTCAGAATAATAATAATAATAATATTGATAATAGTGTAATTTTGTCCGATAGTTCAGATATAGAGATACATGAACGTGCATCTACCAGGAATGCATTTGAGTTTAGCAGCTTCTCGAGTGGACAAGATAATCGTAATACTCGTGATGATGTTGAAGAGATCGAGTATGTGAATGATGAAATTCAGAATGATCGTGTTCATGGTTCACCATCTTCCCTTCTTGCAGCTTCAGAAGATCTTCTAGAAGCTTTTGTTGATTTCACTGAAGTTGATCCCAGCAACAAACAGCCTGCATCAAGTGAGTTGTCATGTGTTATATGTTGGACGGATTTCAGTTCGACCAGGGGAGTGCTGCCCTGTGGTCACAGATTTTGCTTCTCATGCATCCAGAACTGGGCAGATCATATGGTGCGTAATTTTCTCTTGTTCAGTTTTTGTTTCACAATTTTTTTTTTGCTTATGCATTATAACAACATATCTGTTTACATTTTTCTGTGTTAAGTTCTTGGGTTTCTGAGGATGTAGTAGCTATTAAATTATGACTTCGTCAAATGTTTATTGTTGGTGGCATGCCACTTCATGTTGCATAAATGGATGATTCATATTTTTCCTTTACATTGGTTCTACTCTGATGTCATAGACAACGATTATTTTGTTTAATATGTATGCAAAGTTTGACAAACTTCAGTAGTTATGGCATGGAAAACAGCATGTTATTAGTAACTAAAATTTTAATTCATGATGTATTGCATATTGACAGTAATGTTTTATATTTGTGACAGGCTTCAAGAAGAAAAGCTTCAACATGCCCTTTGTGCAAAGCTAGTTTCATATGCATCACTAAAGTGGAAGATGCCGTTTCATCCGATCAAAAAATATACTCACAATCCATTCCACACGACACTTCAAAAATGAATCTATACATTCTTCCCGATGAAACATGCCCTCTTGCCAATGTAAGTGATTACGATCTCCCACTCTCTGATAAATATATGATCTTGTTTTCTGTCGTTTCTCCAGCAAATCTAGTTCCGGTTGTGTCTTGACATCAACCCCCATTTATTTCCGTTTTTAATTTCTAATTGGGTTTTCATTCTCCTTTGTTGTCATATACATATATATATATAGCCATCAGCAGCAGTTTGTAGTCGATGTTCCAGTAGAGAACCGGAAGATCTTCTAATTAAATGTCACTTCTGTCAGATCCGATGTGTTCATTCTTACTGCCTCGATCCACCGTTGTTTCCCTGGACATGCGTTCACTGCAAAGATCTCCAAATGCTTTACCTTCACAGCCGTTAGTCCAGTACAACCAATTTTTATTTATCCCAACTCTTCTATTTTTTTTACATATATATAAATAAATATATATTTTCCATTTTATGAAAAAATAAATCATAACATCCTTTTTTTTTTTAAATTGTATTCTATAAAATGAGTGGGGATAAATATTCGCCATTGAATTCTTTTTATTTTTATTTTTATTTTATTTTATTTTATAGGAACATAAACAAAACAACCTGGAGAATCTCCTAGATTTTAGCTCATCTCTCCATTTTTAAACCCTTCTTCGGTCTGTATTCATTCTTCAAATTCCTTCATCCAGAGATTTAACACTCGGTCAACCTTTTCCCACTCCTTTTGTTCAAACCCCCATAAATAAAACCTCATTCTCTCATGTTTCTCATTGCCTTACATTTCTCGATCAACGGAGTCATTCCGATTCCGGAGTTTTAAATTCCAGCTTTCTCCGACGCTCTTCGACTGATTCCAAAACGGGAATAACGAAAAAAAAAAAAAAAAACTCCGAAAAGAGTTATCAAAACTTATTCCCCAAACAGAATCATGTCGAGCTGCGCTAGGGTCACCCTAACCCTCTTCAACATCGCGATCTTGATATACGCAGTCATTCAAATAATAATGTCGACAACACCGGATCAACCCATAATAGCACTGTGCTCGTACAACAGCGCCTCGTCTTTACAATGGATGGGAATATTCTTCTTGGTCGTGTCCATTATCGGGCTTATGGGGTCGTGTTTTCGTATCAAGGCCGTGGAATCTATTTACCTGTGGGTCCTCGTTATCTGGACTGGGGCTACTATTGTTTTTGCACTCTTTATTTATGCTTCGATGCCGGGACAGTCGCCTTACCTGACGTTTAATGCGATCAATAGGGAAGGGTTTTGGCTGAAGCAGTACAGGCCGGTTTTGCAGACTGCTCTGGTGAATGAGAAGGATTGGTATAGGATCAAGACTTGTTATAAGGAAACCCATATTTGTGATGTTTTGAAAAATGTCACCAACCCGACAACTTCCCGCTTCGTGCAGGTTTAAATTACTCTCTCTCTCTCTCTCTCTCAAATTATAAATCTCTACAATGCTTATCAAATAAATCGAATCGGAATTAGCAATTTTGGGGAAAATCAATTCCAATTTTGTTCCAATAAAAAAGCCAAAAAATTCGAAGATTGGAATTAAAAATCTTGTTCCAAAATCTAAATCGACGGAATTCGGAAATTACAATTTTTAGCCACTTTGTCATACAAAAAACATAATAATAATAATAATTTGCAGACGGGGTGCTGCTTTCCTCCGTACCGGTGCTTGAAATTCAACTCAAACACGAGTTTGTCATTCAAGAATATGGACGACGAATGCAAGACTTGGTCGAAGTTGGGTGTGGGCAAAGAATGCTTCGACTGCGACTCGTGCAAGGCGGCTTACCTGGCCAATTTCCAGGAGCAATGGGACAGTCACATTGTTGACGAGGTTTTAAGGATTTTATTCCTGGTGGCCGCGTCTGGATTCGCTTTTTACGTTTACAAGGAAGACGAAATCCCCATTGATCCAAAGCATGGGAAGCATGTAAGAATTTGAAACTCCTTTTTCTTTTTTTAAATTCTTTTTTGGGGAAATGCTAGAGCTTCTTCATTAAAATGTTTTCATTGTGTGTGGAATTGTAACACGTGATCGAACAGTGTTGTTCTCACATTACATTAATTAACTTTGTATTACTTCATTGTATCTGTATGATTAAGTTATATAAAAAAAACAAATTAAGTTAATAATTAGTGGGTTGTGATTGAATCTAATTAATCAAACCCCTACATCAAAAGGTAGTATTTCCACGTCAAACTTATTCATGCAAGTATTTATCAATGCAAGAAAATAAAATAAAGTAGGTCTATATTTTTTGTCTGTTTTGAGGTTGTTATACGTACACGTTCTGAACATGTAAATATTGGTGTTTTATAAAAAAAAAAAAAAAAAAGAAAAAAAAGAAATAGTATATTAGATAAGAGTAACTTTATATTTGTACAGAGTCTGAGTTGCTAATTAATACTTGCACCAGCGCATGTGATATTCACGTGCCCAGTTTTTGTTTTTTTATCACCTCTACGAAATGGAAGGCTCTTCTAATTAATTATTTTCCATTTTTATCCTTTTATTATTTTTCAATTCCTATTTGTTTTTTAGTATATGCCCACTTGAGGAATCCTATCTTATTATTAATTTCAACCCTTTTTATTAAGTATGATTGTAAAATGGATGTAACTATCCTTCATCAACTTGAATGTATATAATGGATTCTTGTGGCAAGAATTATTTCCATTTTACTTTGGAAAAAAATATAATTTGAGGGAATGATTTGAAAATTAAATTAATATTTGTTTATATTTTAAAACGAGACAAATTAAATTGTAGCAGTAAAATCATGTTCAATAATAAACTAAAATTATGTTTCGATGAGAGATAAACTAAAATGTATTCGCTAATTAGAATATTAATTACAAAATCACGTGCAAAAAGAAGGTTTGGACTATATTTCATGTGTTGAATCTCAACCACTCATTAGTGCTTTTGGGTGGTCACCACTCTATTAACAAATTACAACCACATGTTCAAGATATACAACACTAGTGCTACAATTCTTTGCATTTTACTAAAATTGTTTTATTTTCATAGTTCAAAACTTCAATTAGGATTAATTCATATAGATATTCTAATTTTATTACTTTATTAAATAAGGACACAACCAAAGATGGCCATATCCCATATGCACTAAATTCTAATTTCCCAAAGCCCAATAAATAAATCAAACTGTTTGTTCATGTCTTGTCACGTAACAATTAGAGAAGCAAATATCAATTAAGCATAAATGTATAAATAAGAGCGCATATTACATAGTTTATTGTAGGCTACACCTATTAAACTTCATATATATGCGACTAATTATATATAAATTCAAACGCGAAAAAAACTACTTATTATATGTAGTTTACCGGGTGTAGCATCAAACTGACCGTATATAACAAGCTCAATTATTAATTTATTTACTATGTATATAATAAAAAATGACAAGGAATTATACGTAGCTTCTGGTTTTAGGAGAATCGGCGATTTTGAGGGTATCTTGAATGAGTTTTCTGGCTTTTCTGCTCCTTATTTCGACCCTCATGCTTTCACTCTTATCTATCTTGTTGTAATAATCTGGTTCTTGCTTCCTTTTTTTTATTCCCTTTATTTTCGATTTCAAGCTCGTCATCAATTTCTCCAACCCCATCATCACCATATTTATATATATATATTTCTCTGTAAAAAAACAAAATGCCTGCACAAATTTATTTTAGAGCAACAAAAAAAAAAAGGAAAAGAAATTAAAGCCCAACTGAATATATGAACTCCAAGAAAGTGGGAAGAGAGAATGGAGGCTTACCTTGGAGAATTAAATTCTCGAATTTTGGTCGCAGATTTTTCGAGGATTCAATGTGAATGAATGCTGTTAGAGAGAGAGAAGAGAGAAGAGAGAGAGAGAGAGAGAGAGAGAGGGGGGCCAAGTGAGATGGATGTTTATGGTGGTTTATATATAGAGGACGAGGAATTTGGGTTATTTATTGCATAGGGTCCAGATTTTCTGGATCTTGTAATTTTAGCCCCATGGGGAAATGATTAAGTTTATCTGATCATTTTGTGTTAGTAAGTAAAATAATTACAAGTTTTATTGATTTGATTATGGTCAAAGCTTTTAGTAATAAAATCATCATTCCTTATATTCTCAATCAAATTGGATTATATATGACCCAGCGATTGTGTGAAAGTCCATCAATTGCAGTTACTTTAATTTCCTTACAAATAATTTCCTACACTCTTATATAACAATTAGTAGTTTGCAATCAAGATGTGCAACAAACTCGATCTATCAATCATTGATATAGAAAATTCGAAAATCAAGATGTGCAACAAACTCAATCTACCAATCGTTGATATAGGAAATTCGAAATTGAGCTGACTGACACAAAATCACTTGCTTCAGTCACTAAATTATCGTTTAGCTAATTTCCCCTAGTATGAAGGTGGTGCTCAAATGTCATAAAATGCAATCATTTAGGTACACACACTAGAAGAAAATGAAGTCACGTAAAAAAAAATTAGGAGATGGAGTGACGTTGCTAAAGTACTTATGGCTACAAGGTCCTAGGATCGAATCCTGGTAGCCGCAGTGTGGGAATTTCAACTCCATTTGAGGGTTGGTTCCTTGTGGGCACCAGGTCCGGGTCCGCTACCTTAACGGGCCATTGAGTTACCATGATTTACATCCTCCATCAATCCTTGTCGGGCCAAGGGATGGGGACCCTGGGGGCGAGGGATTCGCCTTTTGGTGCAACAATATATTCTTAATCAGTTATATTTATACGTAAATTAATTTTCTAATGCAGTCACTTTCACTTTTTTGAATTTTAAAAAATATATAAGCTTACGTTTAATAGTGGGAAATGACATACATGGACCATCAATCAATTGGGCCTCTTCTTTTAAGTTAATTCTCTCTCTTCAATGGCGGCTAAAGAATTGCATATCAGTTACTGAATTAAAAAAAAAGAAAAAAAAAAAAAACCTTAATTCTTACAGACAGGTCATTTTTGCTCCCCCAAGAAACCTTACAAAAATATCTTAATTCACCTTAATCTTGTTAATTTTTCATGTAGTAATAATATGATAAGTTAATGGGCTTGAATATGGAAGTGGCATTTTAGATACTATGATAGAACCCAAAACATTATGGGCCGGCGGCTATCGGCCCACTATCGTTCTAATAAAAATCATTTTCAGCCCGTATAATTCTTTCCGAAAGCGTATTCGTCGTTAATGCAAAAGTTCGATATGCAGTTCGGTCCCTATGGTAGGTGTAAATACTAAAATATATTTTTTTATTTTTTTCTGATTTTACATATTTTATTACACATCGTCTTCTTGCCTTTTTCGATTCAAAACTTGAATTGCATTTAGAACCACTAGTAGAAATTTTGCTTATTAATATGAAATTTTTTGTTACGTTAAAAAAATGGTAATAAAATGTATTTTTTACTACGGAATAATTTTGAAGTCGTAGTAAATACTATGATTTACCGTAGCTAAAAGTTATTTGGTACGGCCATTTACCTCAGCAAAGTTTTTATCACGCCTGTATATGCTACGGGACAAATTTATTGATACGAGTTTGATACATTTTGCTACAGTTAATGATCGTAGTAGAATACCATTTTCGTACTAGTGAATATATGCAATGTGGACCAATGAATTTCCATTACTGAAAAAGAAATCTACAATATTATAATGATATTCCATTCAATTTGGATACATTTACACGTGGCATAGTATATATGTTCTTGAGTGACCCCACACTATTATATGCGCGTAGACACACGCACCAAACACACACACACACACACACACATACATCCACATTTATTTATGTGTGGAGAGTATTTTTTCTTTGTGATTTCCCATTAGCTAGTTTCATTCTATCCTTTGCCTCCTCAAACAAAAAAAAAAAAAAAAAAGAAAAAAAAAAATGAATAAGCTGCAACAACAAACAAGAAGAATATCAAAAGCACCAAAATTAGCTCCCCTAATTGCCCTCACATTTCTCTTAACAATCCCTTTATACTACCCCTTCCACACCCACTCTCCCAAAAACCTACTACCCCTACATAATACCAACGACAACAGCCCTTGCTCCGGCGATGGCTGCGGCGGAGATGCGGCGGGGGTCGGCGGTGTTGAGGCGGAACAATGCGACCTTTTCTCCGGGGAGTGGGTCCCGGATCCCGAGGGGCCGTACTACACGAACGAGAGTTGCTACGCGATTCAGGAGCATCAGGATTGCATGAAATTCGGAAGGCCAGATTTAGGGTTCTTGAAGTGGAGGTGGAAGCCCGACGAGTGCCAGCTGGCGCTGTTCGATCCTCGCCGGTTTCTCGAACTTGTCCGGGGGAAGTCGTTAGCGTTTGTCGGTGATTCTGTCGCCAGGAATCACATGCAGTCTCTCATTTGCCTCTTGGCAAAGGTAAGTAACATATTAATTACTAATTTGTTAATCTCGCTTTAATTATTTTGGTAATTAAGATTGATAATTAAACGGGTAAGTAATTAATGATGACATTATATTGTAATAATTTGAAATAATTGAATGAAAGAAAAAATGTTTGTTGGATGTTGTTTTCCAATAATTCAATGTAGTGTGGGGAGTGGCCCCTCCTTTCAAGTTGCACTGTAAATTTTGGCACATATGCATGGACCACATTTTGAGGTTTATCCTCAGAATTTATCTTTGAAAAAGATAGTACATACAGGCAAATTTAATTTCACATATGATATAATTGAGATTAGTTAGGGGAATGTGATCTAATCAAGTCCAGTAAAGCTTAACCAGGTCAATTAGGTCCATATAATCTCAATTTGGCCCAATTAGGAAAATCACATTTTAATTAAAACCAACATGAGAAGCCAGCCCACACCCAATTTCGATATACCATTATTATATATACAACTGCAAAAATTAACCATCCAAAGTATATAGGAGTGGAAATTGAAATGAAATTTCCGATTTCCGTCAATTCTGATCAAAGAATATCCGAATTTGCAATCGTATTTTTCATTCCGATTTCCAAATTCTCGAATTTATTTGGATATAAATAGGAATTGTCTATAAAATTACCAGAAATTCTAATTTTCGATCCAATTTTAGTTTGGAATATTTTGATTGTTTTTTGAAATATATATTATATATTTTGTAAGTTATTCTTGTAGCTAAATTCCTATTTTTAATTCATACATATATAAATAATTAACCACTGTAAAACAGACAGACTGAAAAGTTCGCTTGCAGATTGCAAATTGATTAATAATTGAAATAATTTTTTTTCTGTTATTTTCTATTTAGATAATCATGAATATTGCCTGATTTCTGGACAAGCCCATGTTCTGATAATAGACCACAATTAATCACAAGATTTGTCCATTACGTCGATTACGAACTGCGATCCATTTTGTGGTTGTTGTTTTCTTTACACCTAATTAAATTAAAATTTCGACATTGAAGAATAAATAATTTCAATTTAATTTAATTTTTGTTTTTTTAAATTAAATTATGATCAAAGGATATTCGAATTTGGAATTATATTTTTCATTCCGATTTTCAAAGTCTAGAATTTATTTGGAAAGAAACTGGAACTGTCTATAAAATTACCAGAAATTCTAAATTTCGCTCCGATTTTAGTTTCGAATATTTCGATTGTTTTTTGAAATATATAAATATATTTCAGGTAGCGTATCCATCAGACGTATCAGAAACAACGGATGAAAACAAACGCTATACATACACCGAACACAACTTCAACATTTCAATTTTCTGGTCACCCTATTTGGTGAAGACCGGCAAATTAGACAACGAGCCCTTCGATCTCTACCTCGACGAATTCGATCCCAGTTGGACAACTCAAATCTCACACTACGATTATGTCATCATCTCCGCCGGCCACTGGTTCTTCCGGCCGACGTACTTCCACCTCGAAAACCGCCGCGTCGGCTGCCTCTACTGCCCCGAGCCCGAAATCACCCACCTCACGCCTGTTTTCAGCTACCGGCGTGCCTTCCGGACGGCTTTCCGGGGAATCAACGGCGGCGGCGCCGCCAGATCCGGCGGCGGCGTGACTTTTCTGAGGACGTTCGCGCCGTCGCACTTCGAGGGCGGCGGGTGGAACAGCGGCGGGAACTGCACGCGGACGAGGCCGTTTAGGAGGAACGAGACTGTTCTGGAAGGTCCGGGTTTGGAATTTTATACGGTGCAGTTGGAGGAGCTGGGAATTGCACAGAGTGCAGGGAGGGGAACTGGAGGGAAGTTTAGGCTGTTTGATGCCACGAAGGTGATGCTGTTGAGGCCGGATGGGCATCCAAGTAGATACGGGCATTGGCCGGGGGCAAATCGGGTATTGTACAATGACTGCGTGCATTGGTGTTTGCCTGGTCCCATTGATTCTTGGAACGATTTTTTGCAAGAGTTGTTGATGAGAGAATTAGGAGATGCTACATAAACCTACATTCATAATTTTTTTATTCACCATTCATATTTAATTAATGGATAGTTAATTATTATTTTAATTAACTATTTTACCGCCAGTTATTTCAAATTTTTTTTTTCTTGCTCATATAGTGGTCATGTAGCCCAAATGGTCAAATTGGATACAAACGAATAGAATGGGCCAAGAGTGGAGAAAGCCCAATCAAGAAGAAGCCCACATATTCATAAGAGATATGCAAAAAAAATGTCGAGGGAGAGTTTCCCGACGTTCGTACTTCGATGGTCAAATAAGTCGTAATGGTGGAAAAAAATATAGATATAGTGAAAATAAGTGTGTATTTAAAATACCAGAAATTCCCCTACGTTTGTACCTCAAAACTGTATTTTATACCTGTCGTAGGGATGTGACGGTGGGGGCTCGGTCCATCTAAGGTCAAATCACGCGTGGGATGGGCGAGCAGTCTGGTTCCTTGCGATCTGGGCTAGTTAAATCGGGGTAGGTTTGTCGGGTGTGGTTGAGCTACTTTTTGGTTAATCTGGGTAGTCTGGTTCTTCCTGTCTGACACAACCGAAATATAGTCACATCCATCACATGTATACTCTACGTGAAAGTTGTGATCAACTTCGTGGTGTGTTAGTGGGCAATGCTAATGTGAGTTTGGGCTGCATTTGGATTTTGTTGCGAGACTGTATTATTTGGGCTTTAGGGACAATTCAAACCGTATCTTGTACAGTGATAATAGAATACACTTTAAGAAATGCCAACTTTTTTTTGTTTTTTTGTTTTTTTGAAAAAAGAGATATTCATTAATCATCTTTTACATGTTTTAGCAGAATATATGAATTCATCTTATAAACAATGATCAAAGACTACTTCTCCACTCTACTTATTTATTTAATATATATATATATATATATATATATATATATATATATATATATATTGAGGAACATCCATTTCAAGGGATTAATTTATGTGGAAGTAAAGTCAACAAACATCAATTCATTTCCATTTGTCATAGAGTAATAATTTATGGTGCGAGTAATAATATATAGGCTGCTTTGAACAGATTGAGGCACTTCTTGTTTGAAGAAGTAAAAGTCTGATGTGTCACGCTAACAAATGTTATATTTATTAGTTAAAAAGAAATTCAAGATAAAGAGAGATTCTCCCTCAGAAGAATAATCATATACGGGTGAAAATCGAATTATCGAATCGAAATTAGCACTTTCAGATCATATAATTTCATTTTTTAAAAAAAATAAACACTAGTTACAATTGTCTCACAAAAATCGAATTTTTCGTAAATCAACACAATCCTAAATTTTCGTTTCAATTTTCACCCATGTTCATCATGTATGCATCGAGGGTTGAAATAAAATACATTTTTTTACCCATTGTGAGGAATACATTACTTTGATCAGATCTAATTATAGGATGAAGTATAATAAAAGGATTCGAATAAATTGAAACAAAATTAGTAAATAAGGAAGTGCTCAACCAAGCCGGCTTTGAAATCGTTGACCCGATACAAATAATTTTGATGATAATTTAACGTGAGATGTACTCAAACCCATTGGTCAATACCATAAACATTCGACCAACAAAAAAATTTCACGTTAATATATAAGACAACAATTCCAGCACATAATTTGATGATACAACATAGTTTAATTAATTGCCGATCATTTCCTCCATTTTCTTTCTTCTTTCTTCCTCTTCTAACACGCACAAAAACACACGCACTCACAGATTCCATGAAATGAAACTCCAAACTTCTGAAATTATTCCCTTAAGCAAACCGAAAACACGAAGAAAAACACGAACGGTTGTCGCAATCGTAGCTCTAGCTTTTATTCTAACAATCATCCCTTTGTATTTCCCTTATTCCCAAAATTACAATCAACTCTCTTTATCCTTCCAAATCGGCTTTCAATCCCTCGATCACAATTCAATCCGATCAACAACCACTCCTCCGCAGCCAAACAACCCCAATCTCAGAGACGAAGCGTCCGAAGACTCCCCGAAGAATATTCCACCAGACGCCGCTGCTGCCACGTCAGCAAACTCGACATCGTCAAATGAAAAGCGCGGAGATGGCCGGGAGGGAAAACGGACAAGCGACGCGGTGGTGAAGGAGAAGAAGAAGTGCGACTTGTTTAGTGGGGAGTGGGTCCCGAATCCCGACGGGCCGTACTATACGAACACGACTTGCTACTCGATCCAGGATCATCAGAACTGCATGAGATTCGGGCGGCCCGATTTAGGGTTCATGAAATGGAGATGGAAGCCCGACGAGTGCGAGCTGCCGTTGTTCGATCCGATCGGGTTCTTGGAACTTGTCAGGGGAAAATCGTTAGCGTTCGTCGGTGACTCGGTGGCGAGGAATCATATGCAGTCTCTCATTTGCCTCTTGTCCACTGTAAGTGATCACTTGCCATACGTAATTATGTGTAAAATAATCATTACAGTTTATTTTTCTTCATTAAAAAATAATATTTAGTTTATGCATATTGAAATAAATTTAATGGGCAGATAGATAGATGTATTTGAGTAATTAATGTGTCAATTATTAATTATATGATCAATATATTATACAACTTGTAATTAAGTTGGATTAATGAAATTAACTACTGCTATAGGGTTAGGTAGTGATTACCAGTAGTAATAGGAACTAACCAGAGTTAGACCCGGCCGGCTGGCAATTAATTAAGGTTAATTTGCAGAATGATGTAACAAATTATATTGTAACTATTTATGTATATATATGTGTATCGGACAGCTTGTACACTGCCATTTCTGTGGTTATAATTATAATAAAATTTGTCAATGGAATAATGGATCCATTTCTGTGCTGATCATAATTATATTTGTCAAGTTGTCATAATTAATTAATAATTCTAATGAATTTACAATAGGGTTGTATCTTAACTTATGATTATTTGAATGCTATTTCCGATGAAAGTTACATCAAGTGATTTTTTACCGTTGATTTATACACACCAACGTGAGTGTCTGTATTTCTTAGTAATTAATCTATATTTAATTAATCCATTCAAATCCTTAAAATTCAACCCAAATTCACTTATATATTCAAATTTTACCAAAACCAGTTGTCTTAACTGGAAATTAAACCTCGTCCACCAACATAATCATAAACCATGAGCTAATCTTAGTTAGTTTAATTTGTTTTTCTTCTTAGCCGCCTTTAATTATAATTTATTATTTATTTTATATATATATATATATATTGTGTGTCAGCGATCGTATGATGTTATTGGCATATGTAATAGTCGTGCAATTGCACCCTACAGCGATTTTTATTTTTATTTTTATTTTTATTATTATTAAAATTGCATGTAATAAAATGCTAATGAATTTCCGGGCTATAGTTTAAAAATAAATTCGTGAAATATAACAATATATTTGTTTTTCGTTTTAATTTTAAATTTATTAAAAAAATTGCAGGTGGGCCACCCTGTTGACATGTCAAAGCCGAAGGCCGGAAACAGGTTGTACGTTTACACAGAGTACAACTTCAACATCTCGATAATCTCGTCGCCGTACCTAATCAGAACGGAGAAAACCGTTCCCGGCGATTTCGCCACCCCTTTCAATCTATTCCTCGACGAATTCGACCAAACCTGGACCGGAAAAATCCACACGTTCGACTACATTATCATCTCCGCCGGCCAGTGGTTTTTCCGGCCGTCGTACTTCTACCTCAACCGAACCCTAATCGGCTGCCTGTACTGCCCGGAGGCAAACGTCACCCATCTCCCGTCGGCGTTCAGCTACCGTTGGGCTTTCCGGACGGCGTTCCGGGCGATTAACGGCGGCGCCGGCGTGGCTTTTCTGCGGACGTTAGCGCCGTCGCATTTCGAGGGCGGGCCGTGGGATAAGGGCGGGGATTGTGTGCGGACGGGGCCTTACAAGAGGAATGAGACTGGTTTGGAGGAGTACAATATGGAGATGTATTCGGTGCAGTTGGAGGAGATGAGAATTGCACAGAAAGCAGGGAGGGGAACCGGAGGGAAGCTGCGTTTGTTTGACGCGACGAATATGATGGTGTTGAGGCCGGATGGGCATCCCAGTAAATACGGGCATTGGCCAGTGGCAAATCGGACAATTCCTAATGACTGCGTTCACTGGTGCTTGCCTGGCCCGATTGATGCTTGGAATGATTTATTGCAGGAGTTGTTAAAAAGAGAAGTCAAAAAAAAAAGTAAAATTACCTGAAATTTGATTTATGTTTGACTGAGTGGGCCTATATTTAAATCTTTGTTTGACCGTAACAAAGGCCCATTCAATCGGACCGGAAAAAATATTGGTATATGAATTTACTAAAATGGGCTTTTATGACTGGTTTTTTTTTTTTTTTTTTACTTTTGTAATTTTGGAAATAGTTTTTAACTTTCCGAAGTATTTTGAAATGTAGAAATGATCATCAATCTTGATTTATACATTCTTGAAATTTCTCTATCCTTATATGTTTTAAGGAAAATATACTCGACTCTGATTGTGTTTGAGCTCAAAGCCTATTAGTTTTTCCTATCTTGCATGCAACCTGGTATCTTGTGAGTAAAAGTGTGATGGTGGTCTTCCAAATGTGCGATCTCTTTGACCTGTCTATCTCTGACGAACGTTTTGCCTATCTCAATCATCTTTCTTCACTAGAATTTGGGCCATAAGGTATATGGGTTACCTCGGTTTTGGACTTAACTTTTATTCTTCATTGGACCTTGACCCATCGATCTTGAATATGGGAAGCTTGACCCAAAGGTGCCGAGTTGATCCCTCCCTATCGGTGCCAGTTTCACACGCACAAGTAAAACAATGTAACAGCAAAAGAAAAAAATGGTTATTTTTCTAACTTTAAAATACTTTGTATTTTAAATTTTCTTTTTACTAACCAAAATGTGAAGGTTCAATCAAGCATAGAATGATAGAATAAATGCATTGATGGGTGGTTAATTGTTATATCCTGGGGTGCAAAGAAGCAAAGAGGATCGAGAATTGGAATGAATGAGAAGAAGAAGAATGGGATTGAGATGAATTGGGGGCTGAAGAAGAAGAGGAACCCTAGAATTGCTAAAGGAGGAGTCTTGGCACAATCGGGAGTTGAGGAAGAGATTGAAGGACAAAACGATGTCGTTTTGGTTGGACCGGATTTCGGGGCTAAGGGCCGAGTTTAGCAGCCCACTTATGTTATTTGTTTAATTCTATTGGGCCCGTTTGTTTGTTTAAACCCAATAGTTATTTTGTCTATTTTGTTTTAAGTTCTGCTGATGTTATTGTAATGGGCTAGGGTAGAAATATTCCCTGTGTTGGAAAGGGGTATTTATACCACATTTAGGGTGAGGAATGTTTTTTATGAAAAGTTTCACTAATTCTTTCCTTTTCTACTTTCTTCTTTCCCAAGTCTTTCTATTCCTATCTCAATTCTTCAATCTATACAGTAATTACAAATATTATCATAAATTACAATAAACAAATATTATTATATCCGTGAATCTTGACATTAATCTGGGCCATTCAGGGCTTAATCGAATGGTCCAGACATTTTAATGCGTTAATGGGTGGAAATTCTGGGCTACTTATTGGGCTTAACATCCAAATTGTCCCCACAAATTTCATATGGGCTGCCGCTCTTGAAACTTGCTCCAAGGCGAAATCCCTCGCCCCCAGGGTCCCCATCCATTGGCCCGACAAGGACTAATGGAGGAATGTAAATCATGGTAACTCAACGGCCCGTTAAGATAGCGGACCCGGACCTGGTGCCCACAAGGAACCAATCTCATTGGAGTTGAAATTCCCACACTGCCGCTCTTGAAACTTTATTTGCCTTTCTATTGTCCAAAAAGAAAAAAGAAAAAAAGTATTTGACTTTCTTGGGGGTGGGGGATAGGGTTGGGGGTGGTAGGTAGGTAGTGGAGGGGTGCAACTACCCTAATACACTCTCTTAGTCAAATTAAGCTAGCTATCAAAGACCAAAGAATAATTCAATAGGTGAACTTAATATCATTAAATATATTGCTAATTGGGCATTTTCTTGTAAATGGAATGGATTTGTCTCCATCTATTCTGTTCCTTCCATTTATTTGAGGTTTTCCGGTTGTGGATTCTTTAATTTTCTAAGTCTTAATACAAGCGTTTTACTCATTACTTGTTTGGGTAATTATAGTCACCATTTCTTTTAAATATTTTTACATAAAATTTATGTAATTCGCTTATTTATCGAACCAAATCGTATATTTAGTTCGGTAAACAGTATGAAATGTAGGCGTATCGAAATTTCAGTTTGGTTTTTACCGAATTAACATCCATAAATTTACCTCTAGAGGAGTCTTTTCGTAAGATAATACATAGTTGATGGGTGGCTGTAATTACCCTAACAAGAGAGGGGTTCTCGTAATTTAACCATAACTCAGGATTTGCCATAATTTGTCCTTAAATATATAATTATATTGCGGTCATGCTTATATAAAATTAAATAAAATCATTAAGGATATATTGATTTTTCAATCTTATAATAAGATCTGGTCTAATAAAATATGTGATTTTGTAGGATATGAAATATTATTAGTGTTGATTTTGGTTCATGTAAACATCGTGACAGAATCCAAAATCAAGCAATTAGTCGGATGCATGACTAGTTGTAATGTGACTTCAAATTAAATTATGAAACAAAAAAATTGGCATTTTTTCTGAAGTGAAAATTTGATACCTTACATGGGAATAAATTCATTTTAGATCATTTAATTAGTTTAGTAGTAATTAATCACATGAGATTTAATTTACTTGGGGTTAATTTTTTTGTTGCATACATGATCAACTGTGAATCAAACATAATATTAATTTCTACTCCATTTGTTTAATTAATTATTCTCCTTTTTTTCTTATAAGTTGCTCCATTTGTTTTCTTTAAGTCAACTAGAGTTAATATAATAGCAAACTAAAGGACTGTATTGATTAAACTTAACCATGTGCCTTGATTACCGTTACTAATTAATACCCCCAACGCTACAATAATATAATTAATTAATTAATTAATTAATTAGATATGACATCTCATTAGTCTAAATTATTTATTCTCGTGGCTTCTATATTTTCCAATAAATAAAAAATAATAATAATAAATTAATAATTGTAATAATACATATACTCTATGACCAACTTATATAAAATAGTTTCTCAACTCTTTCCCCAAAACATAATTATTATTCCAAAATCACCTTCTTCAAGAAGTCGCAACTTTATTTTTTTTCTCCCACACCTTCTAATTCAAGCTCCATAACTATGGAGCTAACCGCAAAAAACAATAAAAAAATCAGGAATACGGTAATCCTAATCGGGACAGCGTTAATCTTGATTACAGTCATCCGCCTCAACTATCCATTATTGCAACAGAGTCCTTCTCTGTCGAGCTACAAGGAATATTCCTCGGTGGTTCATGCAGGACGAGACATTAAGCTAACGAATAATCAAGAGGAATGCGATATCTTCACGGGCGAATGGGTACGGAATACGGACGCTCCGTATTACACGAACAAGACGTGTTGGGCCATCCACGAGCACCAAAACTGCATGAAATACGGGCGGCCCGATTCGGATTTCCTCAAGTGGAAGTGGAAGCCCGACGGGTGCGAATTGCCCGTTATGAACCCGTATCAGTTCTTGGATATGGCCCGGGATAAGACAATCGCCTTCGTTGGTGATTCTGTTGGGAGGAACCAAATGCAGTCCATGATTTGCCTTCTATCCCGGGTTAGTATCGTCTTTTGCCAATTTATATATTTAAATTCTGCTTGGTTAATTATATATATCATTTAAAGCTGTATCTATCGTGACATCTGTGCTTGGCGTGGGAATTTTCTTGTGGTTTAATTTAATTTGCAAGTGGATAAGCATTCACATACACATACATATATATGTGCATATAATTAATATATATGATTTTTTTTTTTTTGTTTGGATTTTGGGTTCTTGATTGATTAATTTAGTGGGTTTAGTGTTTACGTTCACATTAATTGTTGTAATTAAGGAGAGAATTATTGAAGTATGAGAAAAGGGTTATTAGTTCAACTATCAAGAACTCAATTATTGATTTATTTGAAGGTTTAGGTAGATTAGGACAAAAGGATTACATCACTAATAACTAGGGGTGAAAGTCGGATGGATCGGATCGGAATTAGCCTTGTCGGAAAATTTCCAAAAAATTTCGGAAGTACAAAATCAATTCCAATTCCAATTCCAAAATTTTCGGAATCTAAAAATTCATTCCAATTCCAAAAGGTACGGAAATTTCGGAATTTCGGAAAAAAATCGGAAATCGCATAAGCATTAAAATTAAAAAATTTAGCCGAAATTTTCTAAAATATTCATAAGTTTTCAAAAATAAGAACATCCACGTTGATAAAAGTAAAACTAATAATAACTACTAAATTTCAGTTAAAAATAAAAATAAAAATAAACACAACATAATATCCAATAAAACTTCTACAACAATTCATTACTTCAAAATCCCAAAACAAAACTTATAGGTGCATTTTTCGGAAAATAAGTATTATATTATATATATTATTTATAGGTGTATTTTTTGGAAAAGAATCGGATTTTTTCGGAATTTATGTCGGAATTAAATTGGATCGGAAATCGGAAATTCCAAATTTATTTTATATAATTCCAATTCCAATCCAAAATAATCGGAAAAAATCGGAAATCGGAATATCGGAAGTCGGAATGAAAAAAATTGTTCCAAAATCGGAACTTTTCGGATCGGAACTGACGGAAATTGGAAAATCCGTTCCAACTTGCACCCCTACTAATAACGACTAATTGCTAGCTGGTTGCTAAAATGAAAAAGAAAATAGTAAGATATTATTTTTCTATTATATATTATTGAGAGAAATAAAAAGAAAAGAAATAATTGATGTGTATATATAGATAGATAAGATGATAAAAAAGAGAGTGGGCTTTCTCTCCACCAGGAACAAACAGTACAAAATAATATCATGAGCCATGCATGGTGAGCCGGATTTTGAGCCGGTTCTCCTTGTCTTCTACTTAAAGCAAACTACCTTAACTTTACTTAATTAATTTATATTTATATTTATATACACTTTATTGAATTATTGATTAATGAAAGCTAAAAGGAAGACAGCTGGATTTGTTGGATTAATCTTGGACACTTGTGTGTTTATTATTATTCTCTGAAAATTAGGTATTTATATTATTAATATTTTTCCAATTAAACCAATTATGAATGAAAATAAGAAAAATAAATATAATAAAATAATAATAAAAAATAATAAGGGAAGATGCCAAAGTACAGGGAATCAAAGAACGTGAGCAGCTCAACAATTCCAAGATCCATAATTCAAATTTCAAAATGGTCCTCTTCAAGATTTGGTGACTGAATTTATATTTTAATTAATTAATTATATTTAAATTATATGTATATTTATGTATGTATAGTACCAAAATAAAAGTTTGTGCGAATGTCAGTTTAAGTAAAAAAAGCTGAAAAGGTCATGTGCTTGTACATGTGCCCACTTTTAATTTTCCCAAAGTGTTAACATTATCAGATATTCTTTTTGCAATGCTGCGCCAAATCAATGCACACTCTAATAATATTCCCTTTTTATTTTTAATTATAAATTTAATTATTAATGTTAATGAATTTTTAATTAATTAAACTTATTTTTTTTAATTAATCAATTTTTACGAATTTAAAGTTTAATTTTACAATTTCAGGTGGAATACCCAATTGATGTGTCACCAACTACGGATGAGCACTTCAAGCGGTGGACATACGTGAATTACAATTTTACCCTCGCCTACTTTTGGACGCCGTTTCTGGTAAGATCCGACGAACGAGACTCCGACGGCCCGACCCACACCGGAATCTTCAACCTCTACCTCGACGAGTTCGACGAGTCGTGGACGAGTGAAATCGACGAGTTCGACTACGTCATCCTCAACGCAGGCCACTGGTTCACCCGCACCGCCGTCTACTACGAGAACCGCCGCATCGTCGGGTGCCGCTTCTGCCAGATCCCCAACATCACCGACCTCCCCATGACCTACGGCTACCGCCGCGTATTCCGGACGGCGCTGAGGGCGATAAACGGCCGGAAAAACTTCAACGGCGTGGTGTTCCTCCGGACGTTCGCGCCGTCGCACTTCGAGAACGGGATGTGGAACGAAGGAGGCAACTGCCTGCGGCGGCGGCCGTACCGGAGCAACGAGACGATCCTGGAAGGTCTGAATTTGGATTTCTACATGATTCAGTTGGAGGAATTTAGGGCTGCGCAGAGAGAGGGGAAGAAGAAATTCAGGCTGCTGGACACAACGCAGGCGATGCTATTGAGACCCGACGGGCACCCGAGTAGATATGGGCATTGGCCCGAAGAGAAAGTGACGCTGTATAATGACTGCGTGCATTGGTGCTTACCCGGGCCCATTGATTCATGGGCCGATTTTTTGGCCCATATGTTGAAGATGGAGGCCCGAAAAACCTCCACTGAGAGACCATTTCAACGACAAAAGAAAATGCATTGAATTTCTTTTTTTAATTGTTTTGGGGGAAATTATATTATTTAAAAAATGTATTTAATATAGTGGTTTTTGGTTAATGTCTACGAAATCTCTCTTATTTTACCAGCTTCATTACGAAATTGAAAATAATTTTTCTATGTTTATAGATCATTTGAGTTTTATTTCTATTGAAATTTGCTAGAAAATTTAATTGTGTGATAAGTAGGGAGTAATATCATCATGATAACCCAATACATTTTGGGGGATCCATCCCACCTACGACATGTATAAATATTGTCTTCAAGTACAACGAATAGGGATCAGGTATTCATAATGGGGAAATATGCAATACCCCCCTCATTTGGAAAATATTTTGATTTAAACCCAATTGACTTTAAAGACTTTTTCCATAACCCAAATCCCAATTTAAATTAGTGAGACCCCCCTTATCAGATATGGTAAGACTAAAATACCCCTATGGGTTAGGGTTTTAATTTTATTCCTCATTTTCACACACACTCTCCCACGTTTACTCTCTCTCTCTCTCTCTCTCTCTCTCTCTCTCTCTCTCTCTCTCTCTCTCTCTCTCTTCTTCTTTTTTTTTATCTTTTTTGTCTTTGCAGAGCTCTCTCTGTTCTCTTTCTTCTTCTTTTTTTTTTGTTTTTTTTTTCTTTGCAGAGCACAACCGCCGCCGCTATCCACCGAGATTTACACCAGTGCCGCCGTTCTCCTTCGAGATTTCTACCGGCATCGCCGCCCTCCTCCCTTCTTTTCGCACCACCGCCATTATCCACTCACCCAACCACCGATCACAGCCGCCGCCTAGGGTTCTGCCGTCAAACCTCCCCAAAAACTCATATTGTCGTATGCGTATGGATATGCGGGTCTGTGTGTTTTTTGTATGTGTGTGTGAAATATTGCAACTAAAAAGTGTGTGTGAAATGTATCCGTGTGTATTACAACGAAAAGGGATCAGGTATTCATAATATACCCTCAATCTTAACATACTTCTCTATACTTATATAATTTACCATGATTCCCACGGACTTGACCGATGGAGTGCTAACACTTGAAAACACTTTCCCGATGCCTCTTTTTTTTTTTGCAGATTTATCGAAATGTGTGGACTTCTTATCTAGGCTTTTCTTTCACTCCGAACACAATTAACCTAGCCATTTGGGTTTCATTAACTGGCATCGTCTGTGCAAACCATAACTTGAGTTTTTGACGTTGAGATCATCTGCACATAACTTGAGTTTTTGACGATGAGATCATCGTGATGACTGATAAAGTTCTGAGCACGACTGGGAGAGATGGACCAAGCCGAGGGCACAGAAAACGCGGAGGGAAGAGGGCACTTCCCATCCCCAGCCACCCTAGATGTACGAAGAGGCCAGGAGCATGAAAATCGTGAGCGAGCGGCCCCAACCTAAGAGAGAGGCTTGCCTCACAAATCCTAAATAAGTTGACGTCGTCGCGCAAACGGTCAGAGAGCACCAGAGCTGCCGTTGACTGAAGAACGACTCGATCCACATTTCCAGTACTAATTAATATACCGCTCTATCTAGATCCTCGGCCCGAATACTATAGGACATCGAGAGCGAGCCCAGGGTATGGTGGCCCTCCACGTGCTCGAAAAGGCCTATGAAATATCCCGATTACCCTATTGCTAATACACTCTCTTAGTACAATTAAGCTACCTATCAAAGACCAAACAATGATTCGGTCGGTGAGCTTTAATATCATTAAATATAATTATATTGCGGATCACGCGTTTATATAAAATTAAATCAAATCATTATAAAAAAAAAAAAAAAAAAAACAAATCGAATCATTAAAATTATATTGGATTTTAAATTTATAATAAGATCCCGTGTAATTAAAAATGTGATTGTGTAGGATATGAAATATTATTAGAGCTGATAATTGGTTCGTGTAACATCGTGGCAGAATCCAAAATTAAGCAAACAATCTGATGCCGGGGTGGCTGGAATCTGACTTCAAATTAAATCATCTAATAAAATATTTGGTTTTTATAATCAAACAACACTACAATATGATATCTTAATTGTTACTACTAAAATTCTTTAAATATTGTATTGTATTAGATTTACTACTAATTATTGAATAACCATGTACTAATTTCATTGGATAATATTATTTAATTGCAGGTTTTCATTTTTTTTTTTTTTTTGCAGACATGATCAAGTTTGAATATTGTAAGTCGAACATGATATTATAATTTATCACTTTGAATTCAATGATGTATTAAATATCTCAAATCTCATTTAGAGTTAAAAATGATTTTAGTTTTGGTTAAATATTTTTTTTCATACAATAATAATAATAATAATAATAATAATAATAATAATAATAATAATAATAATAATAATAATAATAATAATAATAATAATAATAATAATAATAATAATAATAATAATAATAATAATAATAATAATAATAATAATAATAATAATAATAATAATATATTCTGATTGATTGCCTATATCATTTAAAGCTGCATCTATCGTGACATCTGTGCTTTGCGTGAGAATTTTCCTGTGGTTTAATTTGCTAGTGGATAAGCATTGACATATAAAAATGATTATTTTTTTTTTGGATTTTGGGTTTTTGATTAATTAGTGTGTTTAATGGTCACATTAATTGTTGTAATTAAGGAGAGAATTATTGAAGTGTGAGAAAGGGTTAGTTCACCTAAGAGGATAAGCTGGCGATTTATTTATTTTCAAAAAATCCCATCAAGAACTCAATTATTTCAAGGCATAGGAAGATTAGGACAAAATTAAAGGAACACATAACTAATTAATAACGACTACTTGCTAGTTGCTACAATTCAAGAAAATAGTAATAATTGTTATTATATTTATTCTATTACTCTATATACTATATTGATTTTTGTTAAAAAAGAAATGAAATTATTGATGGGGTATATAGATAAGATGTGAAAAAGAATGTTTGCTTTCGAAACAGTACACGATAAAATCATGAGCCATGTATGGTGAGCCGGTTATCCTTCACGAGCCATGCATGGTGAGCCGGTTATCCTTGTCGTTAGCTAAACCAAAGTACCTTGGCTTTACTTCATTTATTTTTTAATCAATTTATATAAATATATATATTATAGATCTATGATTATTTTCTCTTTATATTTTATTTTTGGTACTACAACAAATCATAATTCCATTGGTAACATGGGAAAAAAGACAGCAAAAGTTGAATTATTGATTAATGAAATAAAGCTAAAAGGAAGATAAGATAGCCTGGATTTGTTAGATTAATCTTGGACTGGACACTTGTGTGTTTATTATTCGCAAAAACATAATTTCTCGAAATTATTAGTATTAATAACTTTTCAATAAAACCAATTATGAATGGAGATAAGAAAATTAATTTATAATATTAAAAAATATATTTAACTTGTGTTTTTATCAATTTTTATGAATTTAAGTTTAATTTGTGTTGCAATTTCAGGTAGAATACCCTATAGATGTCTCCCCAACTTCGGATGAGCACTTCAAGCGCTGGAAATACGTAAATTACAATTTTACCCTCGCCAACTTTTGGACGCCGTTTCTGGTAAGATCCGACGAACGAGACTCCGACGGCCCGACCCACACCGGAATCTTCAACCTCTACCTCGATGAGTTCGACGAGTCGTGGACGAGTCAGGTCGACGAGTTCGACTACGTCATTCTGAACGCGGGCCACTGGTTCCCCCGCACCGCCGCATAGTTGGCTGCCGTTGCTGCAAGATGCCTAACGTCACCGATTACCCGATGACCTACGGCTACCGCCGCGTGTTCCAGACGGCGCTGAAGGCCATCAACGGCGTGGTGTTCCTCCGGACATTCGCGCCGTCGCAATTCGAGAATGGGAAGTGGAACGAGGGCGGAAACTGCCCGCGTCGGCGGCCGTACCGGAGCACCGAGAAGATTCTGGAGGGTGAGAATTTAGACCTGTACATGATTCAGTTGGAGGAATTAAGGGCTACGAAGAAGGTGGGGAAGAAGGAATTCAGGTTGCTGGATACGACACAGGCGATGCTACTGAGGCCGGACGGGCACCCGAGTGGATATGGGCATTGGCCCGATGAGAACGTGATGTTTTATAACGATTGCGTGCATTGGTGCTTACCCGGACCCATTGATTCGTGGGCCGATTTTTTGGCCCATATGATGAAGATGGAGGCCCGAAGAACCTCGGCTGAGAGACTCTTTCAGAGACAAAAGAAAATGCACTGATAATTCTTTTTGTGGAAATTATTTTCTTTAAAAAAAATAATAATATGTATATGCGAAACATCTCTTATTTTCCCACTTCCATTATTCTGCTTTCTAATTGGAGCTGCGAATAACGTAAACTGATATAAGCCATTTGTCGAAAGAATCAAAACCGGTAATTGCATTCGTTTCTACAAACAATTGCGACGAGACACCAAAACTAAGGTTTTCATCAAAATAACTATACTATTCCTTTATTATCTTTAATTCGATCTATTTGATTTTAGAAATTAATTGGCTGATCGCTTGAGTCCGAATTATGTGGATTGGGTAGAGTATTATATGCTCTTTCTTTTAAATTGAATTATAGAATTCATGTTTATGCTTTGGGTGGTATTTAACATGAGGCTTGTATGCTTGACATATGTCAAAAACTTGAGTATTTAATAGCTTCTCGCTTGTATGTTTATTTGATGAGAATTAATTCCTGGTTAATATGCTCAAATCTATTTATGTGACCATAAGAGTAGATTGTGTTAATCTTTGATTTTATGAACTCGGGTGAATTAATTGTGTTGTTACTTGATTATCCTTGATTCGAGGCATACGACTTTAGGAATTAACTATCCTATCTCTTGAATCGAGTTATGTGAAATTTTATGTGATCATAAGAGTAGAGTGTGGTAATCTTTGATTTTATGAGTTCGAACTACATGCTTAAATTATATTGTTACTTGAGTATCTTGTCTAAGGTATGAGACTTTAGAAATTAACTATCCTATCTCTTGAATCGGATTATGTGGATTTTTGTGTGATCGTAAAAGTATGCGGTAATCTTTGACTGTATGAGTTCAAACTACGTGATTAAATTATGTTGTTACTTGATTACCTCTAATTTGAGGTACGGGACTTTAGAAATTAACTATG